TAATGTGCAAAATCATTAATGGGGAATTCAAACTGTTAGAATAAAGAACTGATGAATTCCAGCCCACAGGCCACTGCTCCGTCTTTGCAACCGAGTGCTTTTTTAGAGACGCATACAAAATCCATCAGTGCTCCGAGCACTGTGTGAAATGTGCAGGGTATTATTAGACCCCGTGAAAAGTTAAATGTGGTTGAAATAAAGACTTCGCTACAGCACAAGAAGCGGGGTGGGGGGGGTGGCTGCTTTAGAACACTAAATAATCAGTTTGCTATAGCAACGATATAATCTGCCATCCATTTGTGAGCTGTTCAAGGGTTACCTTTCTTAGATTTACAAGAGAGTTTATAAACCATTCTGTTTGGCAGATTGTGTGTGTGTGTGTGTGTGTGTGTGTGTGTGTGTGTGGTGCACAGTTTGCTCATTTCACAAACAGAGGCTTTGCCTTTATTATTTGCCCTGTGTAACACCCAAGACCAGCTGCTAGTTCGTGGAACCCCAGCCATCCCAAGTGAAAGGATTATGAAAGATCACCAGTCTTTTGAGTGACTGAATGTCCCCTGGTGCTGCCAGTTTAAACACACAGACATCATGCTGTTAAATGGGAGGGTCAGGCCTGTCGAATCGTGGCTAATGTCTTTGAAGCTCCATTCTCCTAAGAATGTTATCCTTTCCTTACATGTTATTCACATTACTAGAGGTGAATTGATAAAATTAAATGATGTCAGTCTAAGTAGCTTCTTTAATATTTGGAGTTTGCTCTCTTTCCTTTGTGTTTCCTTTTCCTTTTGTTTGTGGGTGGATGCTAGTTACGTGAAGAGAGTCCCTTTTTAGTAAAGCCAAAAGCATACATATTCACTAGCTGAGAGACCCCTAATGGATACAGCATAGATGTAGTGATAATCGGTAAAATAAGTGTAATTCTTTGGAAAAGTAACTAGCTCAGTATGCAAGATGCTATTTTCCACACAGATGTCATAAATGTATCTGGAGATAGAATATCAGGCAAAACCCCTAATATTCCATTGCTATATTGTCATAAGGTATTGGGAAATACATATTGATAAGCTGAGAACATTGGTGGCTTCAATTGTTCCAGATTATGTTAATCGAGATTTAATTTATTTTCTTTACATTGTTAACTTTTGTTAGCATTCTCTTCTCAGTTGGCTGTTTACTAGTTTTCTCCCATACCATGGAAAGATCACTGAGGAAGTAAAAGGGATTGACCCCTAAATTAATTTTAATGCTTGTTATCATTATTAGAAACCTGCAGCATCTTAGATAAGCGCAGACACCATCACACAGATTGTGTCCATTAGAGAAGAACATCAGTTACTTGACAGATGTTTGTCCACACTGTGAGCACTGCAAGAGAGTGCATTTCATGAAGGGTGTTTTCCACTGACCTGGACAGTAGCAGCAGCGTTCTCCTTTGACCTGACTAGCATAGGACCCTGAGTCTGAATTATTTATATCTGTTCATTAACGTGGGTTTCATCCTCTGAAGTCAAGCCCAGTGGTCAGGATATGTGAAAACAAGGGAATAATAATGAAACTTTAATTTTTGAGGATGGAAAATGAAGGTGAACTCCAAAAATAAAGACAGATTCTTGTTTCTTTTAATGAAATGAAAGAGTTTTGGTTTTGTTTGTTTTCAAAAATTACATGATGGCTGGTGAATGTCTAAGAAGGAAAGGAGGCTGTTAATTTACAGATTGACTACAACCCATTATTAGAGAAACCTGCCGCAAGGAAATATACTCTGCTTCCATGTGGCTTATCATTCTGCAAAGGACAGATGCAGAATTAGGTGTGCTGAGGTCTGACATGCTGCTGCCTTGTGAAAGGACACAATAGGCCATTGGAATGGCACAGTTATGAGCTAACGATGAGTCCAAACGCTCACTCCTTCCAACATGAACAGCACTTGGTAAGAGCTGTGAGGACTTAAGAATGCTTCGTGTCTGCTAGCGGACAGAAAAGAAATGGGTCCATATATTCTACACCCAAGCAACAAAACTTTTGAGTATTATCAGTGATACAGGGGAATCAAAATATGAGCAGTGGATCTATCAATGTTAATACCCTGGTTGTGATCTTCTATGTAGTTTTACAGAAATGTCATTACTGAGGAAAGACGAAAGATGAAGTCTACACGGATGCTCTGTGCCATTTCGTATAACTGTGTGTGAATCTAAATTCATATCAATTAAAATTGCCCCCTAGAAAAAGGGGAGGGGAAACATGGTTATTTACTCAGTCTAGATGTACATCAGCAGATAGGGAAAGTATAGCATATGTGAGCAGTGGAATCTTATTCACCCTTGAAGAACAAAATCATGTTATTTGTAGGAAATAAATGAGTATTAGGCAACACAATTAAAACTCAGAAAGCCAAATATTACATTTTATCTCTCATACAAAATATCAGATTAAAGTGAATAAAAGTGACTGGCACAAGGGAATTATCATAATGGAGGTGAATGTAAACAAAATCAAAATACATAAGAAACATGTATGAAAATGTCTTAATGAAGTCATCTTATACAATGAGTATGCAGTAATTTTAATTGACCAAAGAACAGTAAAATAAGATACATTTCATTATAAAAAAAAAAAAGAGAGACATTATAACTGCTAGTTGTTGCAGGAAACATAATTTCCACATTATTTATAGCCACTGAACCTTTATGTAGCCCTAAACTGATTATGAATAATGAGAAATATTAGACAAACTTTAATAGCTGATGTACTAGGGAGTCCATCTTGTTATACATAAGAGCATGCTGTGTAAGGTTAAGTTCAACCTCAGATATCTATTCGCTTATTTTAACTTTAGTTATTTAATGTCATAGCTTAGAGAAAGTAAGATTATTGATGGCTAAACCCTTTCTTTTCAGGAGGAACAACTGTAGTATTTCAAGTAAAAATTAATTTGTAATATTATTTCAGATACAGAATAAATTCCTGAATGCTTACGATAGCAATAGTGTGTGGCTGTCCTTTACTTCCCTCCCGTGTTTAATGTTACCTTGTAAAGCCATACCTTATTTTTGTCTTAACAGGATTTTATATTTAAATTTAATCATGTTAACATGAATATCATGTGTTTCATGTGTTTTTTTAGTTACTGATGCTGTGTGGGTTTTACAAATAAGTGATTTTTTATTAGCTGCTGCTGTGTGGTTTTAACTACACATGCCAACGGGTTTACTTAAGTTTTAGACTGACCAAGATAAATCAATACTTTGTGTTCAATTGAATACATCTTTAATAAGAACTACTTCAGGGACTTACTGTTATCTTTCAGGAAAAATAGACCCCAAAGACTTTACTAGTCAAGAAGCTCAGATAATTATGTGATGGATATTTTTAATGGCAAGAGAGTATGATTTAAAACTTTATGTGCCCCTACTGGGACCTTTCTGTTGGTTCCACCAAAAAAAAGCCAGCTAATAAATGAATGCAGGGTAGATTTGAGCAGCCTATCACCTTCCCACGTTGTAAATATTTCTGGACAAATATTTGATGTTATTCCAGTTCTTTTGATTATCCAGCTGAACTAAAAGAAAACACACATATCTAGTTTACATAGAAACACATCTGTGTGTGCTGATTCAAAGCTTTGTTTTTGAACATGTGAAATGGTTTCTTGATATTTGGTTCATTTACATCATTGCTCCATAATAAGCTTAGATACCATCTCATCTTTGTAGCATGTACAGTAAACATAAAATACTCTTCGTATCTAAGTTTTCACTTTCTGCTTTCAGTTACTTGCAATTAACCCAGTCCAAAAATACTAAGTGGAAAATTCTAGAAATGAATAATTATGCATTTTAAATCTATAACTTTGTTATTTTGAGGGGTATGATAAAAATATCCTCCATCTTGAATCATCTCTTTGACTATCATCCACACACTGGATTCATCCATCACTGCCTCAGACACTTAGTAGCTATTTCATCACCAAGCTGACAGCATTAGTGTACTTTGCTTGAGTCATGCTCTCTTGACCTAAAAATGGTCTCAAATCCCAGGAGCCATAATGCTTGAAATTTTATTTCAAAATTTCACTATATTTACTATGGTATTATTTATTGTTTTTAGTCTCTTGATGTTCCCAGTATATAAATGAAGCTTTCTCACGATGCAGCTACATAAGAAAAGGCATAGTAGACTTAGGGCTTGGTACTACCTGTGATTGCAGGCACCAGTGGTGTCTAGGAATGAATCCCTTAAGGATGAGGAGGAGCTAATGTCAACTTTGGAAACGGGAATTGAAATAAATCAGTATCTGTTATAACTTGCATCTAAGGAAACATACTACTATTTAAATACAAATAAAAATAAATATATGTGTGCATAATGGTTTATAGCCCAGAAGATATGGAGTTTAAAAAGCAGAAATTGCTATGTTCATTTGAAACAATTATTCTATAATTATCCATTTTGCACTAATGAAAAGCTGTTCGAAAGAGAAATTTCATGTCTCTAAGTGTATAGTTTGGTTTCAGTAATAAATTCTGTTTCATTTTATAGAAATGATTTGAACGTTCCATGTGTATCCTTTTGTGTTCCCTTGTTATACATTTGGCTAGGACATTGATTCCTTCTCCTTACTCCTGTCCTACTGTAATCATTACAGAGAAAGTTAATAAGTTTACCTCATATAATTTTAAAGAAAACAGCATTCATTTAAAAACTGTGAAAAGCTTTTTAAGAAGTTTTAATTGTTTAACAACTCCAGATCAGGCCTTCACAAACCCTAATGTGTAAATGAAACTCTGGTTTTGGACCTGGTGAGTCTGGAAATACACACTGAACACAGCACACTGACTGACTATCCGTGATGATTTATTATACAGTTCAAGAGATCATGAAATCAAGAACATCCCAGCCCTTATGAGTTTTCTTAAGGTTCTCAAGTAAGTGACCTGCATTTCTCAAGTGCCTTTGAGTTATGGATTGTTAATTTTCTATTCTAATTTTTTTTTCAGCTCTTTTGACAGCAAGTTTGTTTACCAACAAAGAGGCCTTGGACCAATTGAAGAAGATACCATTCTAGTCATCGATCCAAATAATGCTGCAATTCTCCAATCCAGTGGGAAGAACCTGTGAGTAAAACAGCTTACATGCTATTCAAACTGGCATGCCTATGCTGGGTATAAAATGCATAATTGGGTCAGGAATCTGTCACAAGACTACCCTTGAGTAGGAAACAAAGTGAATCATTCTTTCATTTACTTTCTAAACAAGTGGTACTGAAGTTCAACTGAACGTTAGGATCATCCGGGAAGCTCAATAACTTATATACATACAAAACATTGGGCCAATTGTGTGTCTCCTTACAAAATGACTAAGCATCATTTTCTTACTATGAAAAGTATTTGATGGCCTAGATTGTTAGCTTGATTCAAACACCACGGTATAAGTATGCATTCATCTTACCATACTTATAAGCAATATTAATTTGTCCACTTATAATTTTTTAAAATTCCATTCTGACTTGGTCTGGGCTATGGACAAATGTTATTCCAACTTTCCAGGTGACTATGGCAGAGTCAGCATTGGAACAGACATTGATATGTATGATGAAGTCAGCTGTTGGCCGTTAGACTGATAGGTTTAAAAATAATTTCCCTAGTATAAAAATTATATACTCAACCAAGTAATCACTGATAAGAATAAAAGACCTTTTTCTCTTCCCACCAACAAGTGAAGAGTAAACAAGTACCATTTTAAGCTTTCCCCTAGCTTGCACATGTAATTTGCATCTGAAAGCCACTCATTATGTGGTCTGATTCCTAGATGGCATTTGGCAGGCAAGAACAGTTGGCTGATATTCATGGTCATTGAAAGAAAGGACACCTGCGTACGGCATTACCCTGACCCATTATAACTTGGCAGCTTCCAGGACTATGCCCCGCTCCATCTGCCTAAGCCCAGGGAAGGCCAGCTTCTGTGAATGCAGCTTCTAATAGAGATACCATAATGAAGCTTAGTTTTTTAAAATAATATTTTTGAAGAAGTCAAGGGCCGAATTATAATACCATCTCCTTAGAGATGTAACCATTCATCAGAAGCATCCTCATCCCAGAACAGAATTAGCAGGGACGGTAGAATAACTGTTGCCAAGCCCATGTGGCCAGCTACAAGGTATCAATGCTGCAAGCAAACCATAACCTCGCTTTCAGTGGCCAAAACGGGCATCTAATTCAGCCAGTTAGTTAAGATCAAAGGGTTATGCACTTGGCTCATAAAAATAAAAAATCTTGATGCCAATACCCTACTGAGGCTAGATGCAGACAAAGAAAGCTGGGATTCTCAGATGGCATTTGAACAGTCTGTCTCCCATGTGTTAACTTCCTCTGTCCAGGATTTTCAATCCTGTGGGCCTCTGTCTGCATCCCTTACATATACTAAATAGATCAAGCTTTTCTAATGACTGTTCAGCTCACCACTTCACTGTGCCTGGAGGGTCACAGTTCTTCTGGAAGTTACTTCCTTTATGTTTCATTATCTGCCATAGCCATTCTCAGTGCTTTCAAGTCACATCCAGAAGACTGTATGTTGATATGGTGTTATAGGACTGGAGAGATAGCTCACTTGGTAGAGACCTTGTTATAAGGAACCAGAATCTACATAAAACCTGCATAGAGTCACATCAGTAACCCCAGTGCTGGGGCCAAGATGGGGCAGAGGGACAGAGACATGAGGATGTTTGGTACTATCTAGCCAGTCAGGATAGCCAAATTGGTTCCACATTCAGTGAGAGGTTTTATCTTAAAAATTAAGATGGAGAGTGAAAATAGACACCTGATATCACTCTCTGGACGACACATGTGTATATGCACACACCATAAACAGCCATGTACAAAAATGCCCATAACACTGTATTTTCTTTTAATACTTTTTAACTATTCAAACTATAGAAATCCACTACTGTTATTTCGCAAAGCTGTTTGTTTTATGCATATTCTGAAACATTAATATTTATCGTCTGAAAACTCGCTTTTCATCTGATGATATTTGTGCTGCTTAATAAAGCATACTTTATAATAAGTACAATTTTATGTAAATTTTACTTATAGATCTTAATATGATTGGTTAACTTCTGCTTAAGCTTTGTCACAAGGAGGTCTCTGCCTTTTCTAATAGGTTATTTTCCTTTAACAATTCATTTTGGTCTCTGTTGTAATGGAACAAAAATACTGTTGTTATTTTATAGAAGTATATTGCGAAGTTCCTCTATTTTGTGCTTGGGGAACTATAACTAAGACAGTTATTCTTATTTCACAGGTTTTATTTACCACATGGCTTGAGCATAGATAAAGATGGAAATTACTGGGTCACAGATGTGGCTCTTCATCAGGTGAGCTTCCTTCTTGGCAGTATTCAAAGAGAAGCTGAAATGGGTTAGTTTTCAAAAGTCTCTGGATTTTACTGAAATCATTTCTATGACTGAAAAATTGGTAACCAAAAAAGGGGGGAACAGTCATATTTTAGTAAGTTCTGTGTGCTTTTATAGAGACCAGAGACTCGGTGGCTTATAAGCAACAAACGAATACATTTCTCCCAACTCTAAATTCTGGGCATCTATGATCAGGGTACCAGCATGATAGGGTTCTGGTAAGGGTTTTTTCCTGGATTTCAGACAGCCATCTCCTCTATGTCTTGTTTTATGAAGAAGGAAAAGAGAGCAAGCTTTTGTGTCTCCTCTCCTCCTCATGAGGTTTCACTGTGACAAACAGTTCAGTTCCTTCCTGCTTCCATGACATTAGAAGTTAGGATTCTGGTATATTACTTAGAAGACACCAATGTTCAATCTATATCAATCCGTACCTCAACATTTTTCTTTTTGTACTCTACTAGGAAAAGGCGACATGTTATTAGGCCTCTCTTCCCCCTTGTATGCTAATAGCCAGATATGGAGCCTCCCTGTAATAATATCTAGAGCCCTTCAAACTTCCTCTTCAATTCCTACTTTGCCCATTATTCCTATTATCCTTAGGTCTTATTTCTTTTCTTTCTTTTTAATTTTGCTTATGCTTTATGATTTCTTTCCTAAGCCACATTAGTTTTCTATAAATTAAAGCAAAGTCTCTATTAAGCATGTAAGACAATCAAACTTTTGTCCTTTTCAAAAGATACTGCATTTCAGTCATGGAATTGTCTTAAGGCCTTATCCCCATATAAGCGTGTTAAATGCAATGATGGTGGTACAGAGTTAGGAAACAGGACAGAGACAAACAGAGCTCCAAAGACTCACCAGTGAGTCATTACCGTGTTCTCTGCAAGAGTTGCAGACATCAGTGAATCCCTACGCTTCCTCATATGCTATCTGCTCATTGTAGTATGAGCTAAGGAAGACAAAAAAGGAAGTGGAGATGAATGTCATGTTTAAATACTGGTCCCTCCTTCCCAAAAGCAATGTGCCTTACCCTCTCTGAGGAGTGGATGGAGATGGGGTGGAGAGAAGGTGTAGGGGATGGGAAGAGAGGAGGGAGTGGGAACTGAGATGGGTATATAAAATGAAAATAGTTTCATTTTAAAAAAAATAAAATAAGGGGTGTGCCCACCCACTGAGACGGTGGGGCTGATCTAATGGGAGCTCACCAAAACAAGCTGGACTGGGACTGATGGAGCATATGATCAAACCGGACTCTCTGAATGTATCAGAAAAGAAGGACTGACTGAGAAGCCAAGGACAATGGCACTGGGTTTTGATCCTACTGCATGTACTGGCTTTATGGAAGCCTAGTCTATTTGGATGCTCACCTTCCTAGACCTGGATGGAGGGGGCGGGGGGACCTTGGACTTCCCATAGGGCAGGGAACCCTGACTGCTCTTTGGACTAGAGAGGGAGGGGAAAGGGGATGGGGGAGAGGAGGAAGGGGAGGGGGAGGGAAATGGGAGGAGGGGAGGAGGTAGAAATTTTTAAGTAAAAATTAAGAAAAAGAAATAAACAAAGAGTTGACTGATGGAGCATATGATCAAACCAGAAAAAAGGAAAAAAAAAAGAAAAAGAAAATTCCTCAAAATAAATAAATAAATAATACTGGTCCCTATTTGCTATTTATTAAATTGCTGGCTTTGGGAAAGTAACTTACTTTCCATATGTCTAATTGTGACATGAAAAATTAGACCAGATGAGTTCTATGGCCCCATCTTGTTTTAAAAGCATCATCTTCTTTTGAATAAATCTCTGTCATTTATACTTTAATTGCCTGTTCAAATGTGTGTGTGTGTGTGTGTGTGTGTGTGTGAACAATAATCAGGAAAAGGAGATTAAGCTTTCTTTCTTGTTTTAAAAAAGGTGTTCAAACTGGACCCACATAGCAAAGAAGGCCCTCTCTTAATTCTGGGAAGGAGCATGCAGCCGGGGAGTGACCAGAGTCACTTCTGCCAGCCCACTGATGTGGCTGTGGACCCCAGCACAGGCGCCATCTTCGTGGCAGATGGTTACTGCAACAGTCGGATTGTGCAGTTTTCACCAAGCGGAAAGTTCATCACCCAGTGGGGAGAAGGTACCCACCACCAATCTTGGTCTCTAATCAGAATTCTGAGTCCATAAAACCAAAAACCAGACATGGGTTTGGTTTTCCCCATGTAAAATCTGTAGTAAATGGTTTGTTTTCATGAATTTGAAAACTTACACAGCTGTGGCATCAGACTTTGAAAGACTCCGTAAACCGTGTATGTGCAACTTTCCTTTGTTCTGTAGAATCTTCCGGGAGCACTCCCAAGCCAGGCCAGCTCAGCGTTCCTCACAGTCTGGCCCTTGTGCCTCATTTGGACCAGTTGTGTGTGGCAGACAGGGAAAATGGCCGGATCCAATGTTTCAGAACTGACACCAAAGAATTTGTGCGAGAGATTAAACATGCATCGTTTGGAAGAAATGTATTCGCAATTTCATATATACCAGGTATTTTGCTATTGTGTGCTTTGTTATGTTTATTGTATTCTGCCCTTACTAGTTTTTTAACTTCATGTGCTTTTTAAATAACCTTATTCTTATTAGTAAGTTCAAGATACTTTGTATATCAGATCTGAAACATCATAAAACTATTACTTCATTGTAAATCGCTTCGGTTCAAATGTCCTATTCCTTTTGCAGAAAAAAATGAAGACTCTATAAAAAGTTAACAGCTGTTTGTATTGGGTTTAAAATGTCCCCAAACACTGGGTTTTAAATATTCCCAAATGCTGATTCCTTTTTACTTATGATCATCCAACCTAGCTATCAAATGATTAATATTGCCTTTGATAGAATTGTGTTCCAACCATTTCTGTTTCTTGTTTCTTGAAAAAAAAAATGCTGGCTGTCTTAGTTAGGGTTTTATTGCTGTGAAAAGGCACCATGACCATGGAAACTCTTACAAAAGAAAACATTTAATTGGTGTTGGCTTGCAGTTCAAAGGTTTAGTTCATTGTTGTCGTGGCAGAAATCATAGAGGCATGCAAGCAGACTTGGTGCTGGAGAGGTAGTTGAGCATACCACACCTAGATCCACAAGCAACAGAAAGAGCCCAGTGACACAGGGCCTAGCTTGAGCATTAAAACCTCAAAGCCCACCTGCAGTGACAGACTTCCTCCAACAAAGCCACACCTCCCAACAAAGCCACACCTCCTAATTGTGCCACTCCCTGTGAGCCTATAGGGGCCATTTTCAGTCAAACCATCACAGTGGCCAATTTATTTAAAACAGATTAAAATGTAAAGTAGTAGAGGTTTGTGTCTTAGTGCCAGGAGAGGTCAGGCAGTGGTGGCGCACACCTTTAATCCCGGCATTTGGGAAGCAGAGGCAGTCAGATCTCAGTGGGTTCAAGGCCTCCCTCATCTACAAAGTCAGGTCAAGGACAGCCAGAGATGTTACACAGGGAAACCCTGTCTCAGAAAACCAAAGATAGATAGATAGATAGATAGATAGATAGATAGATAGATAGATAGATGGATGCCAGGAGAAACAACCAATAAAAATATTGATTTAGCATTTTTATATAAATTGTAATGGTTTTAAAAGTTTTCACAGGGCAGTGATGGCGCATGCCTTTAATCCCAGAACTCAGGAGGCAGAGACAGGTGGATCTTTGTGAGTTCAAAGCCAGCTTGGTCTGCAGAACAAGTTACAAGAAAAACAAGCAGAGCTGTTATACAGAGAAACCCTGTCTCAAAAAGCCAAAAATAAAATTTGTTTAAAAAATCCAAATTTATAAAATAAGATATGTATAAAATTATATTATAAAATAAGTTACCATAAGATAAGTATGTTTCCTGAGAAATAATAATAATAATAAAATAATAATAATAAAATAAAAAAAACTCATTGATGTCAACAAAAGAGATATTCTGTAGTTGGCTTTACTTCATATTCAAAGAATTAATTTGCCAAGATCATTCAGTTAGTGAGGAAGTTGATTAAGTAGATATAATAGTTTTAAAATCTGGAAAAAGATAAAAATTAAAGTTCAAAACAGGAAAGTTCTTTTTTTATGTCTTTACAGCTCTGTAGTAATAATTGGTGCTCAGACTGTACTATGTTATAGGATATATTCTAAAGCTCTCTATGATCCTTTTAAGAAAGATGAAAATATGGTGAACACAGGCTCAGCATTATATGGCTTTGCAGTGCTGGGGCTCGGACAAAGAACATGCTAGGCAAGCCTTCTACCACTGAGCTATCCTCTCAGCCTCTTCTTAGGGGAACTCTTTAATGCGTTCTATAAAAATGAAGTACTCAAACCTATGAATGATTTAAGTCATCACTATTACTCTTATTTCACTTTCATCCAAAGAAATATCGTTTTATTACAAAGTATGTTCATAAGAAGGTGCTTCAATTTTTTTTCCCCATGACAGTATGCCTTTGACAGTCTAAAATACAGATCTCCTGTTAACAAGCTGGAGTTATCTAAAATCAGATTATTTCCTCTGGGTACTGCAATTCCCCTCATACCTTCTTTACATTCTCCTCTTATTTTTGCTGCAGCAAGGCAGCTACTACTTAGTTTTCCCACCTAATCAGATGTTCCAAAATGACTGACTCTGAGAAGCTGACCTTTTCCCCATTCCTGCTGAGGATGTCTCTCTAACCCTATATGCCAGTAGGCAGGTTTGTCAGTAATTATGCATCCTGCCTGCTCATGGATGGTTTCCTAAGTGGAACAGGCCCTCAAGTTTCTGATGTGCTTGCTACAATACGGTTAGTCATCTAATCTGTTTGACCCACAGGATAATGTTTGCTAAGTACTTTTCATTGCTGTGGATATAGGGACCATGTTGATGGTGACTATTTTGTTTGTGTAATGTTTGTTGCTTCTGTTTCAAAGCCAATCTTCGTCCATATTTTAAAGAAAGACCACATCTCTTGTCACAGGTTTGCTCTTTGCGGTAAATGGGAAGCCCTACTTTGGAGACCACGAACCTGTACAGGGCTTTGTAATGAACTTTTCCAGTGGGGAGATTATAGATGTCTTCAAGCCAGTACGCAAGGTACTTAATACAAATACAAATGCCTAGATTTGAATATTTATAACAAAATTAAAACATAAATATCGATGTATAACTCTTATTTTTAACCATAGAAGACATGATAGCTTTCTTAGCTGAGTTGACAGATGGCTCTTGTTAGGTTGATTTAAAATAAATGTCCATGTCTTTCTTTAGACCATCAGTATTTTCAGATGAACATTACCCGGTGCAGTTCTATCTTTGCGGTAGAGTCTGCATACGATGACAATCTTCAATTGACTATAGTCGATATAGGTACATTGATTGGTAGATGATAGATTGATAGACTCTTTTCCTACTTTCATTCAATGGTGAAGAAACCACATTCTAAGTGTACTCCTATAGTTCTCTTTAGAATCAGCAGGCGGCTTAATTTTTTGTTGGAGGTAGTGTTAAGATTTTAATAATCAACAAGAATTGAAAACAGTACTTTATGGAGTCTGTTCAAATTCTAAAGACTTGGCTAGTTGTTGAGGAGTTAAGACTCTACAGTAAGTTGCCACTATGTATTTTAACATTTTTACACACTCAGTGACTACAGCTGAGCTTTTCATGGGCTTTTGTCTTCCCACTGTATTGTATATGCAGAGTAATTGCCAGAGTGATCGTAATACTCGCGCATACTGCAAGCACAGGCCAAGGGTCCGTCAGATGTAGGAAGGTCAGCCTACTAAAATGCTCGGGCAAGGGTTATTTTTCAAAGTGTAGAAAGGTTTATTGTGTTTACTTAAATCAAAATGCAGCTATCACAAGCCACTCAACACAGTATGTCTTAGTATCATAATTCTTAAACTCTTAGGATAGCAAGTTTACTAGGTGAGGGAAAAAAAAAGGACTTTAAAATATCTCAGTGTTTTAGAACTCTCTCAGAAGATGAGCAGTCTGGAATCTATCAAAGTTCACTGTAGTTTTTATACTGGGTCTTAAGGATCTAATCATGTATAAGACAGACAGTCTCTTCCTCGGTGTGCCATTGTTAGGGAAAGCTACAGCATCTGAAACAAAACAAAGTAAACAGGAACTAAAGAATTCTATCGCAGAGTCTCTTCATTTGGGTCTCTGTTTATAGTTTGTATGCATGCATTTTCTTAGAAGACATTTTGTCTGAAAAGCAATGTGCAATAGCATTTAAATCATTGCATCTGTTAGAAGGAAAGCCACTGTATTTAAAGTACATATTTTACCCGAACAGTGTTTTGAATTCTCATTGGTTGTCTGATCTTGAGAGCTAGTCTCCTTTGAGCTAATTTCCTCATATTTATTGATTAAGGAGGGAAAAATATTACCATTCTTTCAGGCTTACCATTTGTCTTATCAGAGTGTCTCTGTCTGGTCCCTTTCAATGATAGTGTTCTGTGTCAACTAGGATATTAAATTTTAATTGAAAAGCACATCAGTACATGAAAACTAAGCACTAAGCAAGAGACCACCACTCATAAGACTATGAATAAGTCTGAATTAGAATTTCAGAGAGCCTTGTTCCTAAACATCAGCAAGTCACCAGACTTGTGGTGATGCGTGAGTCGCAATGTGTGGGTCAATACAGGGGACCTGAAAAGAGTCTCATGCTGAGACAAAATTTGCTCTTCCTTCCACAAAACAAATTATGATATCACCCCTCCACAAGGGAAAGTTTTCTGTATTGATTCAGTAAAGTAGAACCAGTTTATGGATCCCTCAGATCATTCACTTACTAAGATTGTCATCATAAAGACTCAAAGTCCGGGTAAAAGGAATAACACGGTATAATGATTCGCTAGTGCCAACAGAGGCTGAGTTTTACCCGGTCTTTTCCTCTGCATGTATCTGCTGCTTCTTCTCTCACATAGTATGAGCCTCCGTATTCTGACTATAAGCTTTAGAAATTCACTGGTGGCGCGTTTCTTTAATCCCAGCACTCAGGAGGCAGAGGCAGGCAGATCTCTGTGAGTCCAAGGCCAGTTTGGTCTACAAGAGCTAGTTCCAGGACAACCAGAGCTGTTACACAGAGAAACCCTGCCTTAAATATACATATATATATATGAATTATATATATATATGAATTTTTGATCACTCTTTATATTAGCATAAGGGAAATAAAACATTAAGTCTAATAAAGGAGGTTTCATTCTTCTGCATATGGACACACAGATGATCCAATATCATTTGCTAAAGATACTGTCTTTACTCCTATGCTTTTGGCATCTTAGTAAAAATGAGGGAGCTGTGACTGTGAGAATTTAAGTCAGCGTCCTCCAGTCTATAGTCTTTCTTTGCAGTGAAAGACACTGGATGCAGAAACACATGAGTGCTCAGAGGGCCAAGATTGAGTAAAGGTTAAGTGATCACAATAATATGATATCACCACTGCTGCAGATAAGGGGACAGAAACAACCAGAAGACAGATTAAGAGCCTAGGAGGTACATTTGCTAGTTGTGATATGGCTGTTCCAGTCATGACTCCAGTGTCAGCACAGAGCCTGCTCACAGATGGGCCTGTCCACAGTATTGCAGAACTCTCTCAGAGGACCGAAGTTCAGCATCCACACTGGTGGCTCACAGCACCTGTAAATATAACGCCAAGGACCAAATGCCCTTTCTTGACCTCCTCGGGCACTGTGCTTATGCATTTACCTACACCCAGACACAAACATATAAACACAATTTTACAATAATAAAAACTTGCCAGGCAGTGGTGGTGTAAGCCTTTAATCCCAGGATTCAGGAGGCAGAGGCAGGTGGGTCTCTGTGAGTTTGAAGCCAGCCTGGTTATAAGAGCTAGTTCCAGGACAGCTAGGATTGTTACACAGAGAAATCTAGTCTCAAAATAATTAAAACCATAATAATAATGATGCTAATAATAATAACAACAACAACTTAATCTTAAAAGAGAGTGGACCTGTTAACAGCCAACCATGGAGGGAGGAGCTTTATTGACACTGTTGGTCCCCCACTGCTGACCTAGTGGCTACGGATAAATTATGGGAAGTGGGGAGTACCTGGGGTCAGTCATGTCCCTGCTGGTGAGGCTCCAATGGGAGTTCTGAGCCATAGTTACACAGATGGCCCTGGAGAAAATGATTGGGTCTCAAAACAAAAAAAGAGATACATACGGTAAATATGGAAAGGGAACTTAGGGGGAGGAGAGAGGGCTGAAAGGGGTAGAAGGGGGAAGAGCAAACTTGGGGACGAGAGTAATCTGAATGTATAGTATCTGTGTATGAAAATGTCAGAGGAGAAGCTTGATCATCAATTTTTTAAAGATAGATGTTTGAAATCAAAAGTAAGCATAAATAAGTTATTGAAAAGAAAACAACCCTGAAAAAATAATCAGCTTCTTAATTTCCAACGTTTGAAGGAGTTGCAAGCCAGTGGGTTCTCAGTGCCTAAGTTATTCCTAGCAGAGTCAGGGCACAATGACTGCCTTTGGCAAGGGTGGCTCTCTTCCATTTGAGTGGCACACCTCGTCTCATGTTTCTGCCAATCCATGACGTGTTGAAGTAAGGCCTCACCATGATAACCCGTGTCTTTACATCTGGCAGCACTTGGATATGCCTCATGATATCGTCGCTTCTGAAGATGGCAATGTGTACATTGGAGACGCGCACACGAACACCGTGTGGAAGTTCACCCTGACTGAAAGTATGTTGTTATGCTTTTTTACTTGTTTGTTTTTACAGTATTTTTAATCCACAATTTCCAAATTTCCATCTGGTTTATTGTCTCAAGTCATGGGAAACAAAAACATTTGCCTTTATTTTTTTTTTTTTAATGCCAGGAATAGGAAATCGGGACGTAGGGAGTTTGGGTTTGGGGTTCAATGTTAGCATATATCTAGGATCCTTGGTTCTCTGTTCCCTGTTCTACAAAGTACAGGGGAAATGAAGGATGAGCGAGGGATAAGAGGAAGAGAGAGGGTCTTTATTTGGTTTCTATTTCAGGAATTAAAATAATTTCTTAAATGTGGAGAGAGAGGTTTTTTTTTTTTCCCCTGGCAAACGTCGCCTTGTTTCCAGAGACACTCCACAGGAAATGTTTGATGTGTGAAGTAATGTCTGTTACATTAAAAAGCCCCGTTAATTCCAGCTTGTTACAGAAGAGAGAGACAGCATTGGCAAAGGAGAGACTGACTTGTTGTCACAAGACATCACCCCATCTGGCACTCAGCTCTTTCTAGCGCTGAGCGTGACGGGACACCAGCATCCTTGTCTGACACGTTATCTGAAGCAGAGTTTCTTTCTGTTTTCCATTTAGGCCTCAGCTTTATCCCCTCTTCCAGCTCCTTCCCCCTCCCCCTAATACTGAGTTGCTATATTTTTATTTAACTGGGAACATAAAAGAACAGATTTACTCTTTAGAATCTGGTCAGTAAGTGGATGAGTTGTTAGGTTTTAGAGTAGGGGTTGAGGAAGGAGATTTGAGAGGACAGTGAGATAGATTACTTAATGTTAGGTTTAGTGAGGGGACTGAAGGGGACACTGAGTTGGATTAGTGGAAAGTAACAAGTTTGTTAGAAAATTTATTAGTCCCATAGATAGACAGATAGGCAACAACATGGCAGGGACTCTGGGGAAATTTCAGGCCCCAGCACAAGAAACAGGTCTGGTCTCTGAAGATATGAAGCAGAGGCCTTGTGGCAGAAGTGGGGTCTACCTGCTCTTCTAACTGTCTAAAGATGGTTGAGGTTTCCCAAGAGCCCCTCAGCCAGAATCTCGAATCCCAGGCAAAAGGGAGAGAAAAAGGTAGGGAGAAGGATATGTGGCCAATATCCCTTTTAATGTTAACTCGCTCGGCAGATGAGAACTGGCCCCAGGAATTCTGATAGCCAGGGTCCCACAGTGTCTCTGTCTGCAGATACTATGGCCTGAGTCAAGGCTGGATTACTAGTGTGATAGTCTTCATTGATGTTAGTATTAGCTCATTTCAATTTGTATTTCATTAAAAGTGTATGAGCCTAGTCCCCGGCTTCAGACTGTAAAACAAAATTGCCCTTAACTGAAGTTCACTGAACATTTACTTGGCCCAAAACTTCAATATCCAGAGATGCTCTTTAAATATGTTGGGGTCTAAGCAACAGCAGAGAGTGGTAACCAATGGTAACATGGAATTAGGGGTGATATATTTGAGGTATCAAAAGTTGCTGCAGATAGCAATATTAAGTAAAGAATTAATAAGGGCATGAAAACTTGATGAATAAAATAATGTTAATTGTAACAGCATAAACTCAAGTTATAACAAGGAAAGAAAACAAATTACTGGAAGAAAGGTAAAATCAAGAGTCTATAAACTTTAACCAGATGCAATGTAGGTTTTACATCTCAATTTAGCCAGTGCTCTATTCAGTAACTTTTGAGTTTTGAGTTAATCTTCGAGTAGCTCTTACTGTTCTGCAATAAGAACCCAATTCTAGTATAGTGAATATAGATTCAACTATCGGGTGTCTTTGCACAGATGTGATAGACATGTCCATGAGGAAAAAACTTGTTTTACCTCATGGTTTCAGAGGGTTCAGTGTTTGGTGGTTTGGGCAGAACATCACAGTAGCAGGATCATGTGGCATAAGGGAGCGTGTGGCCAAGAAGCAGATAAAGGGATGGGCCACACTAAAACAGTCCAAGGACATGCTTCTACATGCCTCTGTCTTCCAAGCCTCTGCCATCTCCTTATCACACTGCAGTAAAGCTATCTTATTAATTCCATACTGGAAACAGTCCTCATAATCTAAGTATCTCTAGAAGTTCCCACACGGACCCACCCAGCACGCCCTGTATTGCTCTCGTAGGCATTTCTTACTCCCCTCCCGTGAGGACTGTGGCAGAGCTTCTGGCCTGTCCTACCTCCAGAAGCCACTTTCCCTTTTCCCTGTAAGAGATGCATTCAGCACTTGTGTTTTCAGCAAGGGACCCTGGAGGCATGGGCAAACCAATGTAAAGCTAAAGATAGATGGAAAATCCTCAAATGACTGACCAAGTTAGGATTTTTAGAACAATAAAAAAAATGTTACATACCCTTTTAAAGATGGAAAAGACTGTATAAGGAGACATGGGAGCAATTTTAATAGGTGCGTTTTGAAAACTCGTCCTACGTGATTTTGGTACAACCTCCAATGGCTGTTTAAAAAGCAGTACAATGTATCATAAAACTTCAAGATGATAAAAATCTATCTGTGTAATCCAGACCACAATAATTCAGTGAGATGGGACCTCTGGCACAGGAAGAGCATCTGTGTTTGCACTCTAGTACTTAGTCAAATTCGTAGAAGATTGCTGTCCTTGGCTTCTCTATTGCTGTGTTAAACACTGACCACAACTAACCTGGTGAGGGTGGATATTTGACTTCTGTGTCCATGTCACTGAGGGAAGCCAAGACAAAAACCTGGAAGCCAGAACCAGAGTAGAGACCACAGAAGGATGCTGTAGACTGACTTGCTCTCTGTGCCTTGTTCAGTTTGCTTTCTTACATCATCCAGGACCACGTACCCTAGGGTATCACTGCCCAAAGTGGGCTTGGACCTCTTGCCTAAACCTTTAATTGAGAAAATGTCCTACTTTCGCCAGGCCAAGCTGATAGAGGTTCCTAAGCAGGTGTCTTCTTCCTTGGTCACACTAGTTTCTAGGCATCAAGGACAAAGCTAAGCAGCACAGCTGAACTACAGCATGGCGGTGTTCTAGAACTATCCACCTTCCTCCCAGGGAGGAATCACTCCACACATTTAGAAATTAATAAAGGAAAAAGTTCTTTAATTATACCAGGTGACTGGTTCTGGCTAATGCACAAAAGAGGACCAGCCTGGGAAATGGAAAATTTTTAGCAGTTTTTATAGGTCCTAGGCTTATCTATTCCACATACACTATCATCCTTCAATCTCTTTTAAATCCTGGCCCAGGTTAGAATTTGAACAACCTAAACAGAGAAAGGACACCACTACAAGTATGGCTACTTGGGTTAGTAGGAAATTTACACAGGCAAATATTGTTAGAGTTATTTCTTAAGTATAACAGTATTGTTGTTGTTGTTTTCTGGTAGTTGTTACCTGGGATCACCTTACACACCTGGCAGAATGACTCTTTTTTCTTATAAGAGCATGAAGGGAGGGGGAGGATAATGGCAGATCAGGATTTAAAGGTGGTTGCCACCCTGCACTGTTCCCATGAGCTGCCCACTAGAGGCATATTCCTTGATATAGAGATGAGCTTATTGGCCTGATGTAAGTCAAGTTTGTCTCCTTCTGTGGTTGAAATGGAGCCTGACTGGAGGGCACACTTGGTGAAAGAGCATTAGCGGAAGTGTTTTCTCAGCAACCCGAAAATAAACTTAAATTATGGCGCTGAATTTTCTCCCTAGCAGTTTCTAGCAAGCCTGGTCCAAGCACTGCTTACCTCCCGGTCAAGTTGGAGTCAGCACTCTCTTAATTAAATTCAGCTTGGCATAACGTAATAATTCCTAAGCAAGTTTAGTAGTGCATCCTTTATAGCGTCAATTTTGTTACTCCGAGTTCCTGATGCATCAGTCGAAACCGTCTTCACTCTAAGACGTGGTCCAGATGAAAACGCTGTAAGCAAGGGAGTGGTGAAGCTGCTGACCTGGACCATGCCAAGGGTTTCGGAAAGGAAGGTTTACTGGGGATCGAACTGCCAAGGTTGTGCTCAGGAGGGCGCGGGAAGGGAGCAGAGTGAAGCAAAGTGGTGGAAAAATCAAGTGGATTTTATGTGACAATCAGCAATGTAGGGGTCTTCAAGCTGGTACAGGCTCTTCAGATTAACTGGGAATTAGATGTCCTTGCCTTAGACAGTTGACCTTTGAGGACAGATCGAGGAGGTCCTGGTGAATGGAAATTCCTGAGGAATGCTGAAGTTAAGCTTTGGTTTAGCCAGTAACAATTCTTCTGTTTACCAGACCAGAGATCTTCTCTGTTTAGGCCATTGTTGCCAGCCCTGCCATGGGTGGGGTCGGGAATGGGGGCCAAATGGAGTTTTGTCACCAGCACTGCCATTTGGACCTAACAAACAGAACTGAGTGATATTTCAGAAAAAAATATGATACTATAAATTCCGAAAGGAAAATTTTTTTTTTTTTTTTTGCTTTTTTGTTTTTGTTTTTCAAGACAGGGTTTCTCTGTGTAGCCATGACTGTCCTGGAACTAGCCCTGTAGACCAAGTTGTCCTCAAACTCATAGATACCTGCCTGCCTCTGCCTCCTGAGTGCTGAGATTAAAGGCATGCACGACCACTGCCTGGCGAAAACCCTTTTTCTAAGCCTAAAGTTATTAGAAATATTATCTCAGCTTACCCAGGGATGTTTTATAGAAGATTCATGAACATGGCCACTAATTAGACTTAGGAAATATTTGTAAATGAATAAAAATGATATCAAAGTTAAGTTTTTAAATGTTCTTTTAGAGGATTCTGATTTTTCTCACTCCTTATTGTGCTTTTACAGAAATGGAGCATCGATCGGTGAAAAAGGCAGGCATTGAGGTCCAGGATATCAAAGGTTGGTCAGAGTCATCTTTTAAACCAAAATCTGTTTTGTTGGATTATTTTTTGGCTCTTGATTGAAGCATAAAAATTATCAGGATAAAAATATGTAGTGCAGTAAATATCCATGACGTCTGCTTTGTACCCAGCCCTTAAACCTCCACGTTGCTGCTTCCCTTTATGGTAAAGGAAGTTGTCAGAGGGCCCTCCAATCACTGATTCCCAGGAGCAGGAAATGGATGCAGATCTCAGAAACCTCTAGCTCGTGATCCAAAGATAATGCAGGAAGGAAAATATTTAGCTAGTCATACTGGGAAGTCTTACATAGAAAAATGATTCTTTAGTATCCTAGAAAATACCACGTACACTCTCATTTAAGCAAGTGAAAACAATTGGTGAGTCAGTCCTATATCTTGATGAGAAACATTGGCACATCTGCCAGCTCCTGTCATAGTACCTCTCAGCCTATAAGACTGACTGAGGGCTTGTTTGTAAATGACAGTGTATTGAATCTAAGGGAAATGGAACTACAACTGACCTCAGGACAGTTACTCCCCATTTAAAAGCAGGAGAGAAAGACGGCACACATCCACATGCCCCCATGAGCAGGTGAAGGCGTAACTCACAAACAATTGGGGCCAGATGAAGTCGTAAGTCACAAACACGCAGGTAACTGAATCACAGGCATACATGTGAGCTTGTCTACAGGTAAGCAGCTACTATACCCTGTCTATTCAAAAGCTCTGTCTTCTTACTTTTTCCTCTCCGAGAACCAGTTCGAACCTGCAGCTTCTCTGCGCGGTGTAAGTTTTTGACTGGTGCTGTGTTGTTAAGGACCCTCCGTGCTTATAACCAAGTGATTCCCTTCTTCATATTGAACCTGGAGATCTTCAGACTCAAGTCTAGGCATCTTTGTTTTCCTGCCTCATGACAGCAGGTTGGAAAGACATGCAGAGCCAGGACCAAAAGGGAGTTCATGCAGGCAGAAGAGAAAGACAGTAGGCTCCGCATTGAAAGGGCTGAGAGAACATAATTGAGAAAATAAACTGCAATTGCTTGACATTGGTAGAGATTCTGCCCAGGGGACCATATAGGGTGGTGCTCATATTACTCAAATACACATACAGGTTTTAAATCATTGCTATTTATATAGTATTATTGATGTTATGTTTATCCCCAAATAAACATGATTTAAAAGATATTATTGTTAATAACAGCTATCATATATGGAACACTAAAACTGAACAATACAAAAAAAAGTATCAAATATAATCCTACTACCATGTGATATTTATTTTACACATGAGGAAGTATGGATGGCTATTACAAAGGAGAAAGTAAGTATTAAAGTCAGGTTTTAAATGCAAGTCTCTTGATGTCAAATCCTGGGTTCTTAGCCATTGCTGCAGTGTTAAGGACAGATCAATCCTGTCAGCACATCAATCCATTCGCTGTAAGTTCTTCCAAGAATGCAGGCAGTTAGGAATGATTTGCAGTTTGTGTTCCAATCTCTTGAACTGTAAATTATTTCAAAGTATTTCCGTTTAAATATGCCTTACCAAAACGTTCTTGATGATAATATGTGGGAAACAGTCCAATTTTTCTGACCTGACCTCACCTTAGCTGTTTGCTGAAGGGAAAACAGTGAGCCCATTTAGATGGAAAACCTCCCAGTCTTGGGGCAGAACCCAGCAGTCTAAATGGTGAATTTTATGTCAGTGTCTACAAAACAATTCAGTCTAATAGTCGGGAATATCCCACCTCAAACAGAGATACTTTGTTCCTTGAACCCAAATAATTCTTGTTCTTCTATAAGTTATATTCTTTTTTTTAATTTATTTATTTATTTATTAAAGATTTCTGTCTCTTCCCCACCGCCGCCTCCCCTTTCCCTCCCCCTCCCCCAATCAAATCCCCCTCCCTCGTCAGCCCAAAAAGCAATCAGGGTTCTCTGCCCTGTAGGAAGTCCAAGGACCACCCACCTCCATCCAGGTCTAGTAAGGTGAGCATCCACGAAACTGCCTAGGCTCCCACGAAACCAATAGGTCCAGGAGAATCAAAAACCCGTTGCCATTGTTCTTGAGGTCTCAGTAGTCCTATAAGTTATATTCTTATTACAAAAGAAACACGGATCATGCTGGATACCTAGATCTTATCATTTATCAAAACAATGAAGCTACCCTTTGTAACAGAGGCCAAAGAAAATTGCCACTTGGCAACGTAGAGGTGTTTGCTAATTTTACAACTCTAAATGAGAGTTACTTTGTTGATACTTATTTCCAAGTGAGTAGGCATATAACTGATCAGTTATAACAAGGTTTCAGAAGCAAAATTTTAAGGGAGTTTCAGAAATAAGAGAATTGAAATAACAAAAAAAAAGGCCTAGGGAAAAGATTTAAAGTTTCAAATAGAGTTACTAGGAATAAAATAGGTCAAAGCCTAGCTCTCACCCCGTCCCCTGCCCCATGTAAAGAGGACAATGGTGATCAGTCTCCAAAAGTAGAAAGAAGAAAAAAAGAAAGAGGCTCTCAGATGCAGTGAACCTCTTCGATCTTATTGAGAGGAGGGTTTATAAGGATCAGTTGGACGGTGGGAGGAGAAGAAAGAACATGAATGAGAATGACGGTCATTGATGCTGGGTATAGCTTTCATGCTTCCCAAAGCCACAAGATAATGTCCTTTCTAAACTCCTCCCTCTTCACTTCTGTCTGTTACGAGCTAGGTAACAATTTCGGTGTTGCTCTATTAAGAATGTACCCCCATTCCTGATTATTATCCCAGTTGCTTTTAATAAAGAAGAACTCTGAGGGAGGACAGAAGGAGTGGCCTTGAAAGATAGCTCAGTGGATTAAAGTGTTTGCTTCAGAGGCATGAGGACCAGAGTTAGGATCCCCAAGAGTCCACACAAAAGGAGAGCAAGCATGGCAGCTCTTGGGATCCCTTTGCTGGGGAAACAGATGCAGAGATCTTGAGGGTGAGCCATCCAGCTAGATTCTCTGGAGTTGTTAAGCTTTGCATCCGGGGAGAGATTCTACCTTAGAAAATAAAATGGAAAGCAATGGACAAAGACACCTAATACTGACTTCAGGTGTGCACACACACACACCACACAAACACACAGAGAATGCATTAACACATGCAAATACACATTCACACAAATGCATACATAACAATGTTATTTTTTTATTTTTATTTTTTTGGTTTTTAGAGACAGGGTTTCTCTGTGGCTTTGGAGCCTGTCCTGGAACTAGCTCTGTGGACCAGGCTGGTCTCAAACTCACAGAGATCCGCCTGCCTCTGCCTCCCAAGTGCTGGGATTAAAGGCGTGCGTCACCATCACCCGGCTCATAACAATGTTATAGAGCAAAACATTCCGCTTTACATTCATAGAAAATAGAGGAGACGACAATGAGCTTGCAAGTAGATGAGACAAGACAGCAGTAACTTACTAAGATATGTATCACTTTAGACATTCTTGGCTTCAATAATTCTGGTATTTTGGATGTAATCTACTAAAAAATATCTACATTTTAACATTTGGAATAAGATGAAATGTGTTTAAGATTTAAAAGGTGCTATTTTTTTAAAGAGGAAAGTTTTTAAATAACGTATTACCATGAGAAATAAATAATAATAAAATAATAGAAAAATGCAAATACTAGGCAATTACCCTCACAAAAAGCACAGATGACTATTCTTTAGAGAAATATTGCTTTATAGGGCAGAAGAAGGAAAAGAAACGCTTCTTATCTCTCAGTCTTTAAAACCATTGCTTTTTTTTTTGTATCTAGAGATGCGATGACAACTTCTGAATTTATAAGACGTTTTTGTTCTAGGCAGACTGTATATGGCATCTTATATGATACAAGAGTGTCATATTCTATTCCCTTTTATCTCCAGAAGCTCGGGCATTGGCTCATTTTCCAGTCTTTACACTCCATGCCTGTTCAACGGTGGTGCTCCAAAATATGGGAATGCTTAATAAAGGAATTTCATATAAAGAGTGGAATGATATACTTTGGATTATTTATTATTTGAGTGGAATTCCTGGACTCTTTTGTGATAAGTGTTCTGTTAGATTTTTCATTCTACCTATGTAGTCCCGTCAGAAGAACAGCAATATTGCTTTCCTTTCTAAGACTGGGATATTTTTTTAAACCGCACTCATTGTAGCAAAGCACCTTTCAAATCTCAAACACATTTCAGTTTACTCCAAATGTTAGAAAGTTCAAGTATTTTTAGTAAGTTACATCCAAAATATGAGAACCGTGGAAGCCAAGAATGTCTAAAGTGGTATGTGCCTTAGCTAGTTCATGACCCTGTCGCATCTACTTTCTATCAATGTTAAACTGATTCCCTCAGTCTATAACCGATGCCATCCCCGGTTATCTACATTTAATGTACTTCAGCCCTGGCTCTGCCTCATCAAGGATACCAGATATATATTGACAAAACAATTATAGCAAAAACCCTTCTATTTCCTATGATACTGGGTAACTATCTCAGTGTATACTGCTTTCAAATAGAGAATCAGGCCTTCCTTCTAAAGGCAACACAGGCTTGAATACCAAAGATACAAATGTGCTTTAGGTTATTTCATCCCATGATTCCATTTGGTTCCGTTTAAATATGGAACAAGTTTAAACGTAGAATAATCGTGTATACATTTTCTGTAGTAACAAAGAGGATGATAGAACCGTGGTGAGGTCTGTGGCCCACTCCCTTTCCTTCCCTGCTCTTAAAATTCTAAGAGCCAGGCAAGCGAATGCAAGAGAAAGTGTAGTCTCTGCTTTTGCAAAGTCCAGGGAACAAAATGAAGACTTAGGGGTCTTCAGCGAAAGGGTAACAATAGCACCTGCTCAAGGCTCTGTGTGTCAATTAAAGAGGAGCAACGCGCCCTGCGTAGTGCAGGTGCTCAGTGAGTGTGATGGAAACTGTGGAAGAAGCTAGCACAGAACACTGAAGCGAAGAGCCTCAGTCCTCCATGTGTTTATATCATAGATTCTATGTGACGTGTCCTAAGCAGTTTCAGGAGTATGTCCAGCAAGCTGTTATTAACCAATTTTCCCCCATTAAAACCCTTTATCTTTGCCAGTTTGTCAAGGTCCGCTGAGGACCTCGCATCATGAAGTCCTTGCATTAGGTCCGCTGCATCATGCAGTCTATATCATATTGTAGGGGAGAAGATCCACCAAGAAATTAATATTCTGGAAGCCTTCTGAGTCATTCAGCAAACAGGACTGTAACATTTCTCCCAGCTAAATTCTACTCATTGCACGCTAGGGTTTCTATACGCAGATAGCCACATGCTTCTTAGGGCTGGCTCGAAGTCCAGTCTCGTTTCAAGTCAATAGTTATTAAAGCCCCTGTTATAGCTTCTACAGCTTCACTGAATCTGTTTCTTCACAGTGCTTAATGCCTGATCAGCCTGGTACCTACACAGCTCCTGTCAGTCTCTCAGAAAGTTGTTGTTATTTTATCACCAATAAAATGATATATGTTGCATTTATGCCTGCATATTTTGCTGAGAACTATATAAAAGACCACAAAGGTACAGTTGCTTTTTCTCTTTGTCAGTCTATAACTTTGTAAATGTCTATGACTATAAAGAGAGAGAACTAAAACATCACAGAACATAGAAGTGAGTCATAAAATAAAGGTACAATGAACCAAATATTTATTAAGCACCTTCTTTGTGGCCCACATCTAAATCAAACAGTTTTATGGAGGGAATCGTATCACAGCTTTACAAAGGAGATCCTTCTAGGCCAAAATAAATTAACTAACTTGCCCAAAGTTATTCTGCTAGTATACCTGAGAAGAAGTATGATTGACTCCAGGAGTAAGCACCAGCTCCTCTCCTCTACACAAAGCCGTGTGTGATCCTAACCTTGGAAAAATGCAGAAGGATATATACGCTGTGGAGTTACTGGCTAAAGAGGGAATTAAAGGCAGATCAAAGAGCACCCGCTGGAAGGTGAAAACTACACAGCAGTCACCATAGCTGCTGATGACTTTATAGATGCTGAGATTGCAACGTGACCCCACATACACTGGTCTCAACAAGTTCTTGGTGAACCGTTGTTGATTTGACTGGGTAGGGGTGGGTGAGAGGGCTTGGAATCTTTGAATCAGTTGCATACTGTGAACTCTTCTCTCCCTGAAGAAGCCGAGGCAGTTGTTGAATCCAAAATGGAGAACAAACCCACCTCCTCAGAATTGCAGAAGATGCAAGAGAAAGAGAAACTGAGCAAAGAGCCAGACTCGGGAGTGCCCGTGGTTCTCATTACAACCCTTCTGGTTATTCCTGTGGCTGTCCTGCTGGCCATTGTCATGTTTATTCGATGGAAAAAATCAAGGGCCTTTGGAGGCAAGTAAAAATGAGCCCCTTGGATTTGGACCCTACCTTTGAAAGCATGTCTGGCCTAATTACCAAGGAACTTTGTCATGACTGTCTGTTTGGTTTGGCTTGACTTAGTTTGCTTTACATGCTCTCTACCTTCTTATGATATTATTGTCTGTGTTTTGAAAGGTGACTATAAATAATATTGAATATAAAAATCTATTTGGAACCTCTGAAATTTAGGTCATTTGCTTCGACAATAACTTCACTCATTGCCTTTAAACAGTTGGCTTAAGCCCAAGTAATATCACCTTAGAAAGCTGTGAAGTTGTAGATCATCTTGCAGATCAGGCAGAAGGACATACCTGCTAATAGGAATGGACCAGAACTCACAATACTTGGGTCAGGTACCTTGAGGTTATATTCTTCCCCTATCAGGTTGACTCTAGCTTCTAGCTGCATGACATTGGGCAAGTTACTTAATCTCTCTAAACCATGGATAAAATGAGAGTGAAATATGAGGTGTGTGAAAGTGAGATAGAGCAATGG